ATCTGTATTCTCAATTAGCTTCTAACACGATAAATAAATTAAAAAAATCAGGGACTATCAAATTGAAAAGAGTGGCCTATCCTATCTTCCAAAACTAGTCCTTTTTGTTATATTAGTGGCACAATACCGGACAAATTTTAGAAGATAATTCAAGCTTCTGCTCATATTACTGTTCCTTCACCTTCTTGCATTCACAAAATTTCCACAGAGATAAAAATTTAACAGTCATTTTATTTTCTGCCATACAGAGCTGCCCTTTTTTTGAAAAGCTGTATCTTGTGATAAAATTGTGTTTTGTCTCAGAACAGCTACTTAAAAGTCAACCTAGACATCTAAATCATTGCCTGCACGCAATGATTTAGAGCCAGCATGGTTTGAAACATTTCAAATGTAAACAATTAAACTCAATCAACAATGGACACACATTCTGGGCCATTGTAAACTAAAGCAAAATACAAATGAAATAATAAAACCTTTGTACAGGCTTTACCTGTAAATAGCTTTCTTGGCTAATTCCACTTCATCTTTCGTTTGGCACAGATGTAACAATGTTTTTAACTCGTCTTTGAGAATCAGTCTGTTTTTTGCCAACTTCTCTTCAATAGTTCTAAAATACGTATCTGAAATTGAGATATTAACAAGTAGTTTTATTTCTATTCAACATGCATGCAAATTGCTGTATCTTAGCTTGGATTGGGTTGGATCAATCTCAGAACGAGAGGGAATGTGTCTCATTTTGTTGGATTGTAACTTAATCTCTCATTACTGGTCTCAGCTAAAGTCCAACAATATCTTAAAAGCCACACATTATCCATCTCTCCTGCAACAGCATCCTGAATTGGCTCCTCATATCATCACTGCAATAACTCTGCCTTGATAGTATAATGTCCCAATCCTCATGAATAATAACGCTTGGGAATGAGATTTTTCTTTAGCTCCCATTCCCCACTGAAGCCAAGAGATTGAATTGGAGAAGACAGTTGGCATGCATGTGCTTCAAAATTAATACAGAAAACGTTATTTCCCATAAAAAAAGACATATGGGATTATATCCAATTCTATTTAAAATACTAATAACTATATTACTAATAATAATTTTATTTCTTACCCATCTCTCCTCATGGCCGGAGGCGGGTTACAGAACAATTAAAACTCATATGCACAGCAAAACACCAAAAATATACATATTAAAGCATAACTCTATAAACGTTGACATATCTCTATAAAATAATAATAATAATACACTTTCTTTATATTGCGCTCTATCACCTCAAGGGGACTCAGAGCGGATTACTGTATACACATATGTAGGCAAATATTCAATGCCTTTTATACAGTAAACAATGACATACAAGACACAAACCAAGTCAAAGGTGTCACTTTCCATTACTGGCGCCTGGAGGCGATGCTAAACTCTGGCCATGGGGAGGTGCTCCAGTTCCATTTTCCATGCCGAGGAGCCTGTTGTCCATAGACCCTCCTGTGTTTTGCTGGCATAGCTGCAGAGCACCTTTTACCTTCCCACCAAGGCAGTACCTATTGATCTACTCACATTACATGTTTTCAAACTGCTAGGTAGGCAGAAGCTAGGGCTGAAAGCAGGAACTCACCTTAACCCGCGGCTTCGAACTGCCAACCTTCCGGTCAGGAAGTTTTTCTGCAGCTAGCTGTTTAACCCACTGAGCTATTTTGTGTATATTAAAATACACAAAAGACACACATTTAAAATTCATGTTTAAATACTGTCTGGGTAGGCCTATTTATATCTCAGACTACATATGCAACTGCAAAATGTGTACTCAAAATCCAAATCTGGTAAGTCAATGCTTCACAACGCCCATAAATAAATTAGGGGACATTCGTGTGTATATAAAAGGAATACCTTTTTCACCATATATTCTATATCCAGTTGCCAATTTCTGTTGCTGAAATGCTTGTAATTGTACAATATTGTCTGTTAGTAAATAGCGCCTTGCTGGAAAAGAAAGACAAAAAGAAAATAGTCACAGTAAGCCAGATATTTAAGGCTTTGGAAGCAATATTCATTTAAATATGCTTAAAAATTATACAAAATTAAAAAGTATCATTTTTGTATAGAGGAGAGCTCTAGGGACTTTACAATATAATGGTATAGAACAATATAGTAATATATAATACTGATATTGTACTATGCTAATAATATAATATATTGCATATATATGTATCTTGTAAGCTGATCTGAGTCCCCTTCGGGTGAGGAGGACGGCATATAAATGTTGTAAATAAATAAATAAATAAAATAAATTCCCATTCTAATCCCCCCATAGTCCCAAATATCATCTTGTAATATTTTGTTAAGCTATCCGTATGAGCGATCCATTGCAACATTCAACCATAGTTTAGAACAGAACTTTCCAAACAGTTTATGTTGGTGACACACTTTTTGAGGCACCCATTGTTTTGTGACACAGTAATTGAGTTTTAATGGCAAGCAGGGGCTTAAACCAACTCCTTGGAAGAGATATGGGCACACACATACATCGTTAAAGCAAAATGGATGGGGAAAGCTATACCGTATTTCTTTGATTCTAAGAGGCCCTCAGTTGTAACACACATACTCATTTCAGCATCACTATCAGAATATACATGTGTATATATAAGGCTGGGGAGCTTGTAAAACTACAGCTTCCAGAGTTTCATAACATTGAACCATAGTGGCTAATGTGGTGTCAAAGTGCAGTAATTCTGCAGTATAGATGCACCTCAAGTATTGTACAGTGTTATGGATGACAACAGGGCAAATTTGCAATACTCATATTTAAGAGCTCATTCTGCTCAACAGCTCAAGCCTGTTCCAGGGTACAGTTAAAGGCTATGCATTGATTCTGCAAGGCCATTACATGCTAATCAAGGTGGTCATTTGCAACACCCACACTTGCCTCAAACAGACAAGAGTTCTTTCTCCCACCCTGGACATTCCACAGATATAAACCTCACTTGCCTAGTTTCCAATACACCTCACAACCTCTGAGGATGCCTGTCATAGATGTGGGTGAAATGTCAGGAGAGAATGCTTCTGGAACATTTACTTATTTATTTACAATATTTATAGCCTGCCTTTCTCAGCCATACGGTGACTCAAGGTGGGTTAGTGATTGGCACAATTCAATGTCAGGCATTCATAAAAGTGCCATTAAAAATAATCAACATTACAATATAAAACATAAATAAAAACCATTAAAGCATATAATCATTGGTGTCATCTTGTTAGAAACGTTATCCAGTGACATCGTTTGGCCATTCCATGTTAATCATTCATAGCTCCGTGTTATCTATTTTGCTACATTCTCAAAAGCTTGCTCAAAAAGCCATGTCTTTACTTTTTTCAGAAAGTCAGGAGGGAGGGGGCCGATCTAATATCCCTGGGCAGGGAGTCCGGTAGCCGGGGGGCCACCACTGAGATGGCCCTGTCCTTCGTCTCTGCTAAACATGGCCATACAGCCCGGAAAACTCCACAACAACCCAGTGATTCCAGCCATGAAAGCCTTCGACAACACATTAGCTTTCTGATGCTGGAACCAAAAAAAAAAGTGGGGACACAGATCTGGCCTAGAGGTGTGTCTACACTGTAGAATTAATGCAGTTTGGAACCACTTTAGCTGTCAAAGCTCAATGTTACGGCCTCCTGGGAGTTGTAGATTTGAATCTATGACAGAGAAAGTTAAGTAAATACCTTGAAAACTGCAACACCCAGCATTGACCTATGGACATTAAAATGGTGTCAAACTGCATTAACTCTGCAATGTAGATGCACTCCTTGTCCTATACCCAGCATTGACCTATGGACATTAAAGTGGTATCAAACTGCATTAACTCTGCAATGTAGATGCATTCCTTGTCCTATACCCAGCATTGACCTATGGACATTAAAATGGTGTCAAACTGCATTAACTCTGCAATGTAGATGCACTCCTTGTCCTATACCCAGCATTGACCTATGGACATTAAAGTGGTATCAAACTGCATTAACTCTGCAATGTAGATGCACTCCTTGTCCTATACCCAGCATTGACCTATGGTCATTAAAGTGGTGTCAAACTGCATTGACTCTGCAATGTAGATGCACTCCTTGTCCTATACCCAGCATTGACCTATGGTCATTAAAGTGGTGTCAAAGTGCATTAACTCTGCAATGTAGATGCACTCCTTATCCTATACCCAGCATTGACTTATGGTCATTAAAGTGGTGTCAAACTGCATTAACACTGCAATGTAGATGCACTCCTTGTCCTATACCTAACATTGACCTATGGACATTAAAGTGGTGCCAAACTGCATTAACTCTATAATGTAGATGCACTCCATGTCCTATACCCAACATTGACCTATGGATATTAAAGTGGTGTCAAACTGCATTAACTCTGCAATGTAGATGCACTCCTTATCCTATACCCAGCATTGACTTATGGTCATTAAAGTGGTGTCAAACTGCATTAACTCTGCAATGTAGATGCACTCCTTGTCCTATACCCAGCATTGACTTATGGTCATTAAAGTGGTGTCAAACTGCAATAACTCTGCAATGTAGATACACTCCTTGACCTATTCGTATTTGGTAGCTCCTCCTTCTGAACAGCTCAAGCCCTTCCTCGCTTGAAGGACACACGCCATTCAAATTTGGCTGAACTCCTATGAGTCAAGGATCAAGCGGTGCATGATGGGGCATGTAGTCCTCTGCTGAGACTGGAGAGAGGATTACTGCAGGCAAGGAAGCAACCCAGAACCCTTCTTCTTTTCTTTCCCCTCCTGGTACCTCCTTGAGGACACTTCCAGCAACCAGGCGAAGCTGCAGCGACCAACCCGCTTAAGAGAGGCAGCCCGGCCGCCTCTCGCAGGATCCGATTGGAACCTCCAAGCACTGCTGTAGCCATTCTGCCCTCGGATCGTACCAAGCGCGGCTGCAGGGAGGGGTGTTCGGAAGAGGGACCAGGGACCGCCCACATCCCGCCTCCTCCCTTTGCGCCCTGCTCTTTCCAAGGCCTTGTGATTACACTGCGACAGAAGAGCAATCTTCTTTGAATCACCCCCGCCGAAGAGATTGGTACGCTCCACAATGGCGGCCCCTCTGTTCCAACGTGGGTTCCTCCGGAGCAGGAGTGGGATTAGCCTCTGGCTCAGGGCAGGTGGGTCCATTGCAGATGCTTGTGCTGCCTTGTTCGGTTCCAGGGCAAGGGTATTATTCATTTCCTGCTAATACAAGGAGAAGAATCACCAGGCTCTGGTGTTGCTTGGGTTGCAGTTTTTGCAGAACTCACCACTGTTCTGGGGATGATAGGAGTTGCAGTCCAGCAACAATTGGAATATCATTTGCAAGAATATTTTCATTTCCTGCAAATACAAGGATAAGAAGGCTCTGGTGGCTAGAGCCTTCTTAATAATCTAGATTCAGAAACTGGGTTATAAGGTAGTGTAGCCCCAGTGTATCACCATGCTCAGAAACATTTTAAGAGTCTTGTTCATTGGACAAGATCAGCAGAAAGCCAGAGGCTCTGGTGTTGTTGGGGTTGCAATCTTGCAGAACTCACCACTGTATTGGGGATGAGTTGCAGTCCAGCAATAATTGGAATATCCATGGTCCTGATTCCAGGGCAAGAGTGTTATTCATTTCCTGATAATACAAGGATAAGAAATCATGACGTTCTGAAGTTGCTTGGGTTGTAATTTTGCAGAACTCACCACTGTTCTGGGAATGATAGGAGTTGTAGTCTAGCAACAGTTGGAATTTCTTTGGCCTTGTTTCCAAAGCAAGGGTATTATTAATTTCCTGCTAATACAAGGATAATCACGAGGCTCAGATGTTTGGGTTGCAATTTTTGCAGAACTCACCACTGTTCTGGGGATGATAGGAGTTGCAGTCTAGCAACAATTGGAATCTCCATGGCCCTAGTTCCAGGGAAAGAGTATTATTCATTTACTGCTAATACAAGGATAAGAAATCACGAGGCTCTGATATTGCTTGGGTTGCAAGCAATATCAGGTTTTGCGCATTCGTTGTAATGTATTATGTTTAAGAGTCTGAATGTTATCAGCTGGGAGGAGGGGTGCAATAGTACAACAAATTATCTTTTCATAGATCTTGTCATTAAACCATTGAGAACAATGGAGTCAGCAATTCAAGAAAAAATGTTTTCCCCAAGTTTTCAAGTTTCCCCCCTCCCTGAAACTTTACATGTGTGTATTTGTATGACATTCTCATGAGGGGCCACGGTGGTGCAGTGGGTTAAACCTTTGTACTGCTGACCTGAAGGTAGGCAATTTGAATCCACGAGACAGGGTGAGCTCCCGCTGTTAACCCTAGCTTCTGCCTACCTAGCAGTTCGAAAACATGCAAATGGGAGTAGATCAATAGGTACCACTTCGGCAAGAAAAGACAAAATGACGCTCCAAGCAATCACGTCAGTCACACAATCAGGAGGTGTCTATGAACACAGGCTCCTCGGCTTGGAAACTGAGAAAGAGCACATCCCCAGAGCAGGAATTGAGCACCGCCTTCAGAACCGGAAATGAAAGGAGAAGCCTTTGCCTGTGTATTTGTGTCCATTGTATGTCATTGTAATAAGACATTGAACGTTTGCCTGTGTCTGCTTATATACTGTAATCAGCTCTGAGTCCCCTTGGGGAGAAGGGTGGAATATAAATAAAGTGTTATTATTATCACTATTATTATTATTTCATAGTTTTTTAAAGCAAGGAATACTCACAGGTGGTTTGCCAGTTTCTTCATCTGAAATATAGGCTACAGCACCTTTGTCAGAGCCAGTCTGATCTTGAAAGCTAAGCATCTGGTATTCATTGGTGGTTTCCCATCCAAGTACTAATCAGAACTCATCCTGAACTCACTCTGCTTAGTTTCCAGAATCAGTCTATATCCAATATGTTCAAGGTATTTAGGCCCTATACCAATGCATTTTAAAAAATAATCCATAAACGAGTATATCTCCATAGTGTTGCACCATAATGCCTATCATTCCCAATTGGGATGAAGATTGTAATCCAGTACATCTGATAGATGCGAGTTGGGGAAAGGCCACTTTGAAATGTACATACTTTCAAGAAATAAATCTATCTGCATCAAGAGCGATCTAATTGCTGTATTGATCTTTTCTAGAAGTTCAGATATAGCAATAATATTTGTTGTACTTTTTGGTGATATATATTGCATGCAGCGAGTTTACTCCCCCTCCCCCCCCATTCCTAACACTTGCTGGAATGGATTGTCATTTCATTTTTAATCAAAACCTTGCAGATGTTGCAGAATACGATGTGTGTACTCCTGAGAAACTGACTAGATCGTAATAGTCTGTGATTTACAAGATCATTTGGACTTTTATGGAAATCTAATTTATGTTGTGGTAGCAAGGCATGTCTACAACAATATTTGGTAAAGCTGACACAGACAATTTAGGGTTCTGCCTTTTATAGAGTTTGGATTGCAAAGAATGATAGATGTTAATGAGTCTTCATATGTGAGTGGGGACAATTTATTGCATTTAATTTAGAAAATGGAATGTATATAAAGACCGATGACTAATAACATTTTCACTTTGAAAAATGAGAACCTTTTAAAATGATCTTGATTATATATTGATTCTGACTCTCCCCTCTACTTAGGTAAAAGATGTATTCTTTCGTCAGCTTATGTGGACAGTACGGCGTGGGAGCAAAGAGAAAAAGAACAGCACAGCCTGGGTAAGGAAACACTTCATTTATTTTGGGCACTTGGAGTTTCCAATGATGAGATAATAAGTTGATGGAGTAATTCTTTGAATGTGTACTTCAGGGTTCCCCAAAGTAGACTCCAAGACTTATTGATGGTGGCACCTCTTTGCATAGTGTGCAGATGTTAAATTGCAGAAGAAAAGCTGAACAAAGGGACCTGTAAAGCAATGCTACACATTTGGGAGACATAAAGCTGTGGGCTTCTCTCTCTTCTTTCAAATTGAAATAATGCAGTCTGACACAACTTTAACTGCCATGGGTGAATGCTGTGTAATCATGGGAGTCATAGTCTTATAGGATCTTTATTTATTCATTTATTTATTTTGGTCATTTATATCCTGTCCTTCTCACCTCCGAAGAGGGAGCCATTAGATGCCAAAAACCCCAAAGACATTAAAACACACAGTTACAATTAACATCATTAAAACAATTATAAACATTCAATTAAAAACAGTTCGGCGGTTCAAAACATAATCCAAATCGTTCCATTGCGGTCTGCTAAAACATTCTCTTTAGCCTTTCATGCCAAATATCTTGGTTAGTGCTACATCAAACTACAACTTCCATGACTCCATCTCATTTTTCTGATGTTGTGGATTTTAATTTTATTTTATTGTGTACTAGCCGTCACCTGCCATGCATTGCTGTGGCCCAGTCTATGTATGTGTGTTTTGTGTGTGTATGTATATTTGTGTATATGTGTATATATGTGGTTTTGCACATTTGTTGTAATGTATTTTTTATTTTTTGGCTTTTTAAGTCTCTTCCACTGAGTTTTTCCGTGTTTTTATGAGTGATGGTCACTCATTGGCCTGATAGGTATATTGTGTCCAAATTTGGTGTCAGTTCGCCCAGTGGTGTTTGAGTTATGCTAATCCCACAAATGAACGTTACATTTTTATTTATATAGATACTAGCCGTCCCCTGCTACGCGTTGCTATAGCCCATTCTGGTGATTTGGAAAAGTAAAAGAGGGCTTTGGTTATGTTTTCTTACCCTGGTGAAGGGAGTTGGACTGGCTGGCCTTAAGACAGCGTTTCTCATCCTGGGGGTCGGGTCCCCAGGGAGTGTCGCTGGGAGGGGGGGGGGGTGTCAGAAGGGTCATCAGAGATCACCAGAAAACACAGTATTTTGTGTTGGTCATGGGGGTTCTGTGTGGAAAGTTTGGTCCAATTCTATCAGTGGGGTTCAGAATGCTCTTTGTGTGTGAACTCTAAATCCCAGTAACTACAACTCCCAAATGTCAAGGTCTATTTCCCCCAAACTCCATCTATGTCCATATGTGGGCATATGGAGTATTCTTGCCAATTTTTGTCTAGATCCTTCATTGTTTGAGTCCACAGTGCTCTCTGGATGTAGGTGAACTACAACTCCAAAACTCAAGGTCAGTGCCCACCAAACCCTTCCAGTATTTTCTATTGGTTCAATTCCATTGTTGGTGGAGATCAGAATGCTCTTTGATTGTAGGTGAACTATAAATCCCAGCAACTACAACTCCCAAATGACAAAAATCATTTTTTTTTTAGTGAAGGACATACATTGGGTTGTTAGGCGTTTGCTGTCCAAATTTGGTATCAATTCTTCCAGTGGTTTTTGAGTTATGTTAATCCCATAAACGAACATTACATTTTTATTTATATAGATTTTACTTTGTATTTTTGGGCGTATTCCCTTCTGATCTGTCCCGAGTCCCTTCGGGGAGATGGTGGCAGGGTATAAAAATAAAGTTTATATTGTTATAGCATTACGCCATGGAAGTTAAAGTTGTGTCAGACTGCATTATTTCTACAGTGTAGATCAGGTATGGGCAAACTTGGGCCCTCAAGGTGTTTTGGACTCCAATTCCCACAGATTGATAGAAATCCCAGGAGAAGAATTTTTGATAAATAAGTGAACAGGTTATGTGCATCATGGCAACAATTTTCTCTTAACCTTGGTTGTAATTTCAGGATCTGTAAGTTTTCAAACAACCATCTTGCAACATATGTCGCTTGAACACAAGATGGCACTACTCTGCTGTCTTTGTGGATTATGGTAACTATCGGTGAAAGGATGCATTGTTTTTGTAACAATGCCCATTCATTGGCACTTTACAGTTGCATATAGTAGAGATAATATTTGGTGTGTGTTTGGTGATAGTGTTAAAGCAGATGTGAAAAGTCAAACAACTGCATATGTTGCTGCATGTCCATTTGCTTAGAAATTGATAGAGTTATTTTGTGACTGTTGGTATGGACAACTTTTCTCCTGGCATTGTTTGAAGCCTCTTTTGTTCTCACCCAGAGCAGTTAAAGCCTAGATTTGGTCAGTCTTTTAGAAAACATTAAAATGGGCTGTGATTTCATTTAAAAAACATTGTGAGTACACAGCAGGTTTATTAATTTGGAGTAAGGATTAATGTAGAATTGTTCCAGTTCTCCACACTGACAAAGTAGTATTGTGTAGGGAAAGACTCAGAATGAAATAGGGTTTTGCAGCAACTTTCCTACTAGGAAAAGTTGTTCTGTTTGGATCTTTTCTTTTCTCTTTTAAAGGAAAAAAATGTGAGTAAGAGAAGGCAGAATATTAATGTATTTACTATGTTTATATTCTTCCTTTCTTGACCTCGAAGGGGACTCAAGGCAGCTTACAACATAGGCAATAATTCAGTGCCTTAAAACAATATACAATTAAAATAAACATTTCAATTAAAAATTAAAATCAAAGTTTAAAAAATTAAAATATTTTAAAACATTACAATTACTGATACAAACCATGCTATCCGCAATCATAATCCAGGACATTACGGTAGTCATTGCACATAATTCCAAATCCATCTGTTGCACTGTATTATTCCCCAAATGCTTGATCCCAAAGCCACATTTCACTCTCTTTCTGAAGGTCAGGAGGGAAGGCGCTGATCTAATATCTGGGTTGTTGTAGGTTTTTTGGGCTATATGGCTATGTTCTAGAAGCATTGTCTCCTGACATTTCACCTGCATCTACGGCAGGCATCCATATAGCCTGAAAACCTACAACAATCCAGTGATTCCGGCCATGAAAACCTTTGACAATACATTGATCTAATATTGTGGGGGGGGGGGGAGCTCCACAGCCAAGGGGCCACCACTGAGAAAGCCTTGTCTCTTGTTCCCACCAATCATGCCTTCGAAAGTATTGGGACCGAGAGCAGAGCCTCTCCAGATGATCTTAATCTCTGAGACGGTTCATAGGGGGAGATACATTCAGACAGGTAAACTGGGCCAGAGCCGTTTAGGGCTTTATAGGCCTAAACCAGCACTTTGAATTGTGTTCAGTAGCAGACTGGCAGCCAGTGGAGCTGATGTAACAGAGGGGTTGTATGCTCCCTGTACGCCTCTCCAGTGAGCAATCTGGCTACTGCTTGTGGGACCATTTGAAGCTTCCGAACAGACTTCAAAGGCAACCCCATGTAGAGTGCATTGCAGTAGTCTATTTGGAATGTAATGAGTGTGGTCTACTATGGCCAAGTCTGACTTTTCATAAATAGAAATTTATGAAAATGTACACAGTGAGAAGAAACGGAACAGATTCCCTTATTCTCTTTTTAGTAGAACCCAGGTCCATCCAACAAAGTTGAATAATGAGAGATATAGCTTAGTCAATGGCTACCAATTGGAATAATGGCTTTAAAAGAGGATTAGACAAATTCTTCACAAATAAGGCTACAAAATTACACATAATCAGAGGCAGGTGGCTTCTGCATACCAGTTGCTGGGAAAAAGAAAATGAAAGTGCCCTAAATTGTGGGCTTTTATGGGAGTTGTAATTTTACAAGGTCTTTAGCTTCTCTGTCAAAAAGAGCCAGTGCATCTCCAAACTACAAATCCTAAGATTCCATAGCATTGAGCCATGGCCAGTAAAGCGGTATCATACTGTAACAATTTTACAGCAGAGATGTACTTTAAGTGTCGGACTTACAACATTGGGTAAATAAAGTACAGTAAAATTAATCATATTAGTAAAAGACATAATCGTATTAAATGCATTGGATTAAAATAAAATGTTTGGTATTTAGTGATAGAAAGGTATGTTGTTTTAATTATGGATTAAAGACTGCAAAGCAATTTTAACCTTCTTGTGTCTGCTTAAGAGGCAGCATATATTTATTGCTTTCCGGGCATTTGGAATATTTATACGCACTTCAGAATTTTACTGCAGCCCCACTGAGTACTGATAACAGAGAAAAAGTCAAACATAAAGTGATTACCTGCAAGCTACTCCTTGTGTATTTGTCCATTAGAACTTAAGCTGGAACCACTGATTTATTTGTAATAGCATACCAAGCCACTATTATACAATAACCTTTTATTGATTTGCAGTGACCTGTGCTACATTTCAACCAGCAATTTTTGGGGACGTGAAAAGCTTTATCTCGTTACTAGTCCCTTGAGCCATGCATTTGTAGGGAGCAGAAATTATAATCCCCATAGACAGTTTCTAGGTGAATTTCATCGATAGGTCTCATTGTAGAAGGTAATACTTAGTTGCTGAATGTCAGGCTGAATTTAGAGAGGATTTTCTTTGGTTAGCTAATAAGACTTCCATACCACCATTTTGCATAAGGGCATACTCCACCTTTATCCATGGGTATTATGATGATTTCAGCATACCAGATATATATTTATAATAGACATTAATCACAATAATTTCCAGTGAGCTTGTAAGGGCTGGTCACATAGTTCCCATTTGGTAATTGACAAGATAATAACAACAACCTCTGAGGATGTCTGCCACAGATGTAGGCAAAACTTCAGGAGAGAATCCTTCTAGAATACATAATCGTATATTGTGTCCAATTCTGGGCACCACAATTGAAGAGAGATGTTGACAAGCTGGAATGTGTCCAGAGGAGGGCAACTAAAATGATCAAGGGTCTGGAGAACAAGACCCATGAGGAGCGGCTTAAGGAGCTGGGCATGAAGAAGAGAAGGCTGAGAGGAGATATGATAGCCATGTATAAATATGTGAGAGGAAGTCACAGGGAGGAGGGAGCAAGCTTGTTTTCTGCTTCCCTGGAGACTAGGACGCGGAACAATGGCTTCAAACTACAAGAAAGGAGACTCCATCTGAACATTAGAAAGAACTTCCTGACTGTGAGAGCCGTTCAGCAGTGGAACTCTCTGCCCTGGAGTGTGGTGGAGGCTCCTTCTTTGGATGTTTTTAAACAGAGGCTAGATGGCCATCTGTCAGGGGGCTTTGAATGTAATATTCCTGCTTCTTGGCAGGGGGTTGGACTGGATGGCCCATGAGGTCTTTTCCAACTCTATGTTTCTAAGATTCTAGAACAGGGGTCCACAAACTTTTTAAACAGAGGGCCAGGTCACAGTCCCTCAAACTGTTGGCGGGCCGGATTATAATTTAAAAAAACATGAATGAATTCCTATGCACACTGCAAATATCTTATTTGTAGTGCAAAAAAACATTTTAAAACAATACAATAATTAAAACCAAGAACAATTTTAACAAATATAAACTTATTAGTATTTCAATTGAAAGTGCGGGCCTGCTTTTGGCTGATGAGATAGGATTGTTGTTGTTATTGTGTGCTTTCAAGTAGTTTCATACTTAGGTCGACCCAGAGAGAGGGCCGGGTAAATGACCTTGGAGGGCCGCATCCGGCCCCTGGGCCTTAGTTTGAGGACCCCTGTTCTAGAACATGGCCATATAGCCTGAAAAACCTACAACAACCTAAGATGATGATGATGATAATAATAATAATATTAATAATAATAATAATAATACACATAAAAGGACATCTTAAACATGACATCTGTAACTTAAATAAAAACATAACCTATTGAAAATTATAACTGACATAAAACATCCAAATTAATTTGCAAAAGCCAACAAAGGTAATTGTGTACTATCCTGTTTGTACTAGGTAGTGTAAAACTAGCCCACTTAAATATGCTAAAGGCAACAGATTCTGTCTGATGTTTGAAGCTAAGTAGAGTCAGTTCTGGTTACTCCTTGGATAAGAGATCACCAATAATTACCAGGTTCTGATGACTACATTTCAGAAGAATGAACTGATATTCTTCTGTTTATTGCTTTACAGGTATTTGGAATATTTGGAATGTTTGTATGGCAGATGTTTCCATTTTTTTTTTCCAAACAAGGAGTTCTGGAGTTCCTTGTTCCCCCCCCCCCCCCCCAACCACACACACACACACCCTTCAGCATTTTTGGCAGCGTGTTTGGACTTTGCAGGGTCCCAGTAGCTGGGGGAAAAATACACCACAATGAAGGAATACCAGCAAAGTTATTCTACAGTGTGACCTATCCAACAGATAAAGTGTTTTATTTAAACCTGGATTTCTATTTTCCATGAAAATGTAATACTCTTGTGGCATCAATCCTTAGATAGCCAGCTGCTTACCTGCTTCTACATCAAAAGTAAAAAAGTACCATATATACTCAAATATAAGCCGGCCCGAATATAAACCAAGGCACCTAATTTTACCACAAAAAACTGTGAAAATGTATTGACTCAAGTATAAGCCGAGGGTGGGAGATGCAGCTGCTATGGGTAAATTTAAAAATAAAAATAGATACTAATTCAGATACATTAATGGAGGCATCAGTAGGTTAATTTTTTTAAATATTTACATAAAGCTGCAATTTAATATAAGACTGCCCAACTCTGATTAAACCATTATTCTAACCTTCTTCAGTGTAAATATACTGATGTATCTTTCCAATAATAATAGAGTAAAAAATAAATGTAATAATAATAATGATAATAGAGTAATATAATGGAAATGTAATAATAACAGGAATAATAGTGTAAAATGATAAATGTAATCATATAAATAAAGTAAAATGATAAATGTAATGATAATAATAGAGTCCCTCTACGGAGGTAGAGAAGATCGGGATACAAAAGTTTTAAATAAATAAATAATAGCATAAAATAAAATAGTAATCGAGGAAAATAAGAAATGTAATAATAACAAAAATCATAAAGTAAAATAATGTAATAATAATAAGGGATAAAGTAAAATAATAAATGTAATAATAATAATAATAATAATAATAATAATAATAATAACAGAGTAAATAAATAACATTGACTCGAGTATAAGCTGCGGGGACTTTTACAGCCTTAAAAAAGGACTGAAAAACAAGGCTTATACTTGAGTATATACAGTAATACCTCTCAGGGAGCAAGCACACAAAAGCCCATTTGCCTTCATACCCACTATGTCACTCAAGACATTGGGAGGGTGGGGATGACAACTATGAAGCTATTGCAAGTATGGCTATTATATTGACTATGGACACAAATATACACACATTCAACTTAGCAAAAGAAACACTCTTAAGATACTCTTAGGTTGCATAATATAGATCTCCAGACTCAATGAGAAAGTCAAAATTTTAATCTGATAGTCTTAAGAATTGTGCTTCTCATTACTTGGCTCCTGTCCTCTGGAACTTCCTTTCGAGATAATCCCATGAAATGTCCTTTATACCACCACTACTCCTCCTCTTCTTTACAATAGTCAGAGCTTTTTTTGAAGATGGGAGTGGGTTTGTACACAGTTAAATGGGGTTATGTATGTTTATAGTCTCCTATCAGTTTGAGAATGTGTTTCATTGTCATTTTTATGAATGTATTGTTTTTCCTTCTTCTGTGCTGCTCTGGGAACTGTGAAATTGAAGTGCCGTTCATATGCAGGGACTATCAACATACTAAACAGCTTGCCTAGGAAAAGGCAACCCAGCCAACTGATATTAAAAAATATAGCAGTTTGAAAACAATATTACCATCTTGACTTCCCAAACAGAGCTGAAACAGACATGCTATTTTCCTAGGTTAGGAAATCCCCCCTCCTATCCTATGATAACCATTAATTATTGATTCTTATTTTGTTTCTACAGCTGATTTAGCCAATTTGATGGACAGCACCTTTGAGAAAAAACTTCCAGTCAGCTCTTTAACTTTATCTCGGGTAAGAACACAAGCTTCTAATTTTATTGAAAACTGCATTGACAGATGTAGCATGTTTCTTCTAAGAGAATTTTAACTGAAATATGTTTTGCTGTATTGCTTAATGTGCAGTTTCTTAATACAGGTACTGGGTTAGCATTTTGCTGAGAACACAGCCAGGTGTGTCTGTGTAAAATTCAAAGCCTTGGGCAGATCAGCCGAAATTATTTCTTTTGATATGCTTTGCCTTTCTTGTTATCTATATGTTCATATTTTCATATTATTTTAATATATATACAGACAGTCCCCAAGTTACGAACAAAATAGATTGTATGTTTGTTCTTAAGTTGAATGTGTATGTACATTTTAAGTGTAGCTTCAGCCAAATGTGTGTGTGTACACACACATATACACACACTTTGGAGAGCATAGGGAAGGGTTAACATCCCTGTGGTGTGTGTGTGTGTTTTGGTTTTGGTGTGTGCCTCTGTTCAGAAGACTTCACCTCACTTTCTGTCCCTGTGGTAATTAGATTTTGAAAAACGTGGCTTGTTGTGGAAACAACGATTGGTGATAAAACTTCAGTGGAGACACATTTCCCCCATGCTAACTTTTCTGAGAGTGAATTTCCCTTCCTAGGGTAGATTTCTCTCACTTCCTGTTGTCTCACCTCCATTCTTAACTATGAGATGTTTGTACAGCAGATGTTTGTAACTCAGGGACTGCCTCTGTATATTCTTCATTCACTCATTGAGCTGATCTTTTGTGATGTATCATTAATACTATGTAGAACAAGCACTACTTCCCAATTCCCTTAGGCCAGCAGATAAAATTCTGAGATCTGAAGTGTCGATAAAGTGTTGCTGGCACAGAGAGGTCATGTAAATGTCAGTAATTCTTCCTTCTGCTTGTTTTAACTTCTGTTTCACCTGCCTACTCTGAGCCGCTGAGAAAGGAGAGGCATTAACTCCTACATCCTCTATCCTCTTTCTTTAAGGCAGGGGTGAGCAGTATGTAGTTCTGCAGATGTAATTGGATTGCAGTTCCCATCATTGCTTACAGTCAGTTATCTCAACTAGGGCTGATTGGAGCTAGATTCTAAAATTTATAGGACTGTTAGGTGGCTGCTTCTGCCCCATGTCATTTTGTACCTTGTGATACTATATAACAGGAACATAGGAAGTCACCTTGTAGTTTGGTCTGTCCACTGTTCCACTGTGGATGCAATTCTCCAAGATGGTTTATGTTTAGATTTTAGTGGGCCAATGGACGTGATCTGGAGTTTAATCTGAAAAGCAAATATCTCTACTGCAGAAAGTTCACATCAGAATCTAGAACCAATTGACTATCTCACTGAAATGGCAGCCATCGCCATCTTTTCAATTGAAGATACGTATGATTGTACCTAGGATTTTTAGTATGGAGAACCCTGATCTTTGGGATTCATGCTGGGATATTAACTATCCCAACAGCTGTCTGTTTTCTTACTTTCATTGAACATGTTCCTCTCCCTTGGAACCTACTTAAATAGTTGGCAGTAACTACATCGAGTGGTGTAAAGTTACATTGGTTATTTGAGTGTTATGTGGAAAGTGTTTTGTAAAACAAACAAACATGTGGTTTGTTTATTCAGATGGGTGTTTTCTATTTTATTGTGACAAAAGCAAAGCAGCTGCTCCCTGTTTGACATCTTCTAGTTCACTGATAATTATGGATAGCTCAATATGCTGCTTTCATGCATGACATGAGCCCTCAAGCGCCAAAGCAAAGAGAATGGGTGATTGTTCTTCGGTATCACCCAGGGACTTGAGATCAGGTGTCCGTTGCCTTTCCTCAACATATACTGCAAATTGGGGTCTTCATTTCCACCAAGTTTTCATCTCCCAAGGAGAGGAGCTAATCCAGCACAGATTTGACTAGCAACTTCTGTGTTGGGCTGCTGTCAGTTTTCCAGCTGTATGGTCATGTTCCAGAAGCATTCTCCCCTGATGTTTCATCCATATCTAGATGTGGGTGAAGCATCAGGAGAGAATTCTTCTGAAACATGGCCAGACAACCCTGAAAACTCACAGCAACTCAGTGATTCCGGCCATGAAAACCTTCAACAACACAAGCTTCTGTGTTGTTTCGAAGCTGAACATCATCAATAGACATGTCTGCTGAAACCCTATGGATGGGGTTGCATCCTCTTCACTTCATTATATTTTGCATGTGTCAGAGGAAGGAAGAAGAAGGGGCATTACTTTATCTAATGTCAGGATAATTGCATCTTGCTCTTGCTTTATAGAGCAACTGCTTTTATGTGTCTGTGGTGCTACATCCATCAACTGAGGAACAATCTCATGGCAAGCATCCTTAACGATTCTGGCTATTTTTTAAAGAGTTTCAAAGTAGATAGAGTTTCTCCATTATTTTCCCATTACAGTGCTGGAGAAGCAACAACTTTTAAGGTTCAGGCAAGTCCAGGTTTCAGTGTCCTACTGCTTTTTTGTATGTGGTCCTTTCTAGCCTTCCCACCATTCTGCTGTTGTCTGTGACCTGCATATGAAATGGTCCACCACCAAAGAAAATCAGCTATGAGTACAGGAATAGTACCTTCTGTATAAATCAGGAGTGGGTAAAATGCCCCCACAAAGGTTGCTACATTGTAGACCAAAGTTTCTCAAATTGTGTTCCTCTAGATGTTTTCGAATTCAGCCCCCACAATTCCTAAAAGCTGGTAACTGGCTGGGATTTCTGGGAGCTGAAGTCCAAAACACCTGGAGGAGCACAGTTTGAGAAACACTGTGGTAGACCATAACATCTGGAGAATGCTATTTATCAGAACCGCTCTGGCCCAGATAAAGCCATTAATTTCATGTGGGTCCATATGTGTTTTGCATTTAAGAAAATATTCATGCCAAAGTAACAGCTCTGAACAAAAAACAAAAAAACAAACAAACAGTGCCTATGGCTTTTATTTTGGGAAGATTTTAGTACATTTTTGCTTCAATTACTTATTTAGAAAAAAATATTTTTGTTGAAAGGCCAAACAGTCATTTATAGTATTGCTTCTCTATTTCATTTCCATTGATTGGTGATCTCACCTGATCTTTCCAAGTCTTTCTTTATCATACTAAAACATTTGAAAAGGAAAAAAAAGTCAAGGGCATAGAATTCTTCTATGGTTTGATTCTGATAAAATAGCTTGAAATCTTCTTATTTACAAAGTCAAAAGGCTAACAACCCCACAGCAAACAGTCCAGTGTGAATCACCCATGCTTAAGTAGAATCTTTATTGGGATGGGGGACAGAAAACCAGATGGAAGCAGTGGTCATGGCATGGTGTAGCTGTAAGTAGGTATGTCTGGTTGGCTGCAATATTGAACATTGGAAACATCTTAAACTATTTCTCCATGTCTATTATCTAATTCAATGCTTGCTTGTAGGCCAATCCATTACAGCAATCGTGTTTGTAATTCTGAACCTATTGAGAGCATTCACCAAAGATCCCTCTTAATAGTTTTATCCAGCTAAACCAGAAATCCCAATTGGATGGTGCCCATGAGGATCTTCCTCCAGGTGCAAACCAAGAATGATCAACTTGGAAGTTCCTGAACAGACTCAGAAATTGAGTGCACAGATCAAAAGACAACCTGGCAAAATGGCACTGCCTAAAAGAATCGTTTATCCTGTGCTGCTGTGGAGCAGAACAAACAACTCCATGCCTGTATGATTGTCCACAATGTCCTGCCTCATGCACAGAGGAAGAATTGCTTAAAGCTACAGTTAATGCTGTCGCTGTTGCCTGGTTTTGGTCAAAAATTATTTAGCCGCTTGTTCTCCTTCTGTTTTATCAGTTTTATACTTATGTATGCAATGCTTTTGATATAAAATAATAATAATCTGTGTCCCAAATAAAAACCGACTTGAGAAGAGTTTAGCAGATGACCCAGTTTTGACAAAACATATTTATGTATTATTGAATATACTTGAGTTTATATGTAGTGTGTTTTTCAAAGACCTTTGATGATTATGTTTACAGACAGGTCTTTGTACACATATGTAAAACACAGATATGTTTGATCATAATATAAACAGTTGTGGATCAGAGATACAACCTGTCCATGCAGATCTGTAGAAGTGTAGCTTTTTGACTTAAATATTGAAAAAGAATATTTTCCACCCTTCTCCCAATACGGAATATCAGGTAGCTTACAACAAGGTTAAAACAATTTAGAGGTAAAACCCTAATGATAAAAAAACAAACCACAATTTAAAAAATTAAACCACAATTAAACTACATTATATTAAATACTATTAATTTTAAAAGTGTCAAATCATTTAAAAATATTGTCGAAGGCTTTCATGGCCGGAATCACTGGGTTGTTGTAGGTTTTTTCGGGCTATATGGCCATGGTCTAGAGGCATTCTCTCCTGACGTTTAGCCTGCATAGATGCAGGCGATACGTCAGGAGAGAATACCTCTAGACCATGGCCATATAGCCTAAAAAAACCTATAACAACCCATTTAAAAATAAACATTAAGATTAAAATGCAGCACTTATCTCCCAATAAACATAATCTGCAACCAATTAATAATCAAATGTCTGTTTAAGTAAAAGTATTTTTCATCTGTTGAGGAAAAGAGATCTGAGATTCAGTTTGGCCTTCTGTGGACAGGAATTCCACAGAAGGAATCCCTCCCATTGATTCTCTTGGTGAATAATATCGTATAATGAATTATACAGTTTTAACAGACTTGGGATGCTTCTTAAAGTTACATTATGCAATATATTTCTAAAGCCTTTTTTTCTCCCTCAGTTTATAGATAACGTTTCTTCTCGCGAGCAAGTGGACCAAGCTGAATATTATGTCTACAAGTAAGCAAACTTTGGTTTTTTGGCTTCTTTTTTTTTGAAAAAAAAATCATTTCTGAGTTAGAGAAGTCATAAAAAACAATACATATGTTTTCTTCCAGGCCTTGGTCAGAATCAATCAAGTTTTGCTCTCAAGTGCATTATAGATAATCAAACTTTCTGTTACTGATAACTAAGGCCACAGCTCTTTATTAGAGGACACTTCTTTTTCTTCAGTGAGAACATGAACTATAGAGAAAACCCTATTTTATATGCCTTGAAAAATTCAAGGACAATATCTAATATCTCTGCAACTGCAGAATAGTGGGAAATGATGATGCCTAGGACATTTATTGTTTACTTTTTAATACCATCCACATTTAATTCTATTTTAATGTTTGTATAATTTTAGTTTTCAAATTGTATTTCATTTGATTTTACTGTAAGTTAGACCACCATTATTCCCATTTTATAAATTGAGGTTAATGGTAGAAAGAGAGCTAACTTCCATAAGAATCAGGATGTGTCCTTAATGGACAGCTTGTTTATGAAACAGTGTCCAAGTCAAACTTGCATTATACAGTATTGGCAATTATCTGTGGTTTCACTTAAACAAAAAGTACCAGATACGTCTTATTTTACTGAAAGGGGCTTTGTTTTCTGCAGTTTTATATTTCATTCCTTCATTATTTAGTTTTTCTTTGAAAAAAGGTTGTAAGAAATGAAATTACATGACTATTTACAGCAGGAAATTGGCAACTGTGAATGCTTAAGCGTACTTCACCACCACACCTCCTCCTGCAAACAAAACACAGACATACACACATTAGGAGGTTTGGGGGCATTTCCACCATGTTTTGGGGGCCTTTCTGGGCCGTTTTAACTATAAGTTGAGCAGAAGAAATTTCCTATTCACCTCCTATCTCAAAAAAGACCTCTCCTATACCTGAATTTATCCAAGGATGCCACAAATATAGTGAAATGTTCTCCTAGCCCTTGGTGTACCTTTTGGTAACATTGCAAATGAAAAATGTTGCTAACATTATTTTGAGACCTGGAAGGGCCATTAAGTTTTGGAAACATTCTGGAGCAAAACAAACAAACAAACAAAAAACCCAAACAATTGCTTGTGTGTGTGCAAAGCCCCCCCCCCTTCTCCCTTGGGATCACAGAAGCAGTCCTGTGGGGTCAAATGGGGCTTTGGGCTGCATTTTGCCCACCCCTGATTTATAACATTTCTTTCTGCTTTGTGTTTTTGAAGACCACAATTAAAGCTGCTCTTTTAAAGACTTAGAATTCTTTTTCTGTTCTGTTTTTATAAAGAAAGGTGTTCTGGCAGAGTCTTTTGATCCTCCTTTGACTAATATTAAGATTAATTGGTTAATCCAATTTTATACCCACATTTTCACTATGTATTTTGACACCTTGTTTAAAGCAGCCGACTTATTATATTGGATCATGGTATACTTCTGTTGGCAAAGGATACACACTAGTATAACTAAAAATGAAGAGATTTATTTTTTAAAGTGTCTGAATCAGCAATGCTTTCCCAGTTTTCCTATTCTTTTAGTTATTTTGCTGATTAGTAGCTACAGTTGTCTACTTGAAGAACTGGGGCCCTATTAATTTGCCTCCCCAATGAAGGACTTTCATTACCTGAAAGGGAGTGGGACAGTTCAACTTCCTGAAATTCCCACTCCATAAAAGTCCCAAAAGAAAGTTAGAGAAGCCCTAGAATAGATTTGGGGAGTGGGTGTGACATAATTTGATTGATTGATTGACAGTATTTATATTCTGACCTTCTGACCCTGAAGGGGACTCAGGGCAGATCACAGAACACCTATATGGCAAATATTCAATGCCATTATACACTGAGAAGACAGACAACAGTACACATAAAGGTATTTAGGCTTTCCCCATCTTCGGCGTCTTGGAGGTTGCGCTCAATTCTGGCCACCAGTGTGGCAGGATGTGTGTGTGTGTGCTGTTACTCCATCCTTCATGCTGAAGAGCCCTGTTCATAAACTTTCTACTTTTGATCGAATTGCTGGCATTTCTTTATGGTACTATTAAAATACCTTTCTGCTAAGCGGTACCTATTTATCTACTCACAGCTGTTTCCAATCTGTTAACTGAGCAGTGAGCTAGGCTGAAGGTCAGGTGCTCCCCCCATACCCGGCCAAGATTTATTGTAGCTGGTGGTTAACCTTTTATGCTAAAGCCAGGCCCAGGCTTTAGCACAGGGAGAAGGGAGAAGTCTCATTGTGCTGGAATAACATTGCATTTCACTCATTGTAATCTGGAAGTCTCCATTCTCATCTTGTTCCCTTTTCCACAATGTAGATCTTTGTACCTCAAAGCTCCGAGGAGATAAAAATTCCAAAATGGTATCAATACTGAAATTGCATCTAGGTTGATTTTGAATTATAATATATAATATACATTTTTAGAATTGAAGTAAGATCCTTATTTTGAAATCAGGGTTTCAAGTCAATGTTTTTGTTGTTTGGCTTGGCTAGATTTGCAATAGATTGGTAGATCCAGAATTTCTTGTTTGATCTCTGATATTACCTTTGGTAAACAAGACTTGCCCCAATACATACCCATACTGTTAGGAGTGTTGGCATCAGGACTTGGCTTCTTTGGACTGTGTCAAGTAGTCATCATTCTTATGGGACACACTTCTGCCCTAGATTCCTTCTTAATTCCTACCCCCAATACAACATTACAAGTGGCTCCTTGAAGCCGGATGTATAGCCACTCTTTTAATTTCTGACAGCACCCTCAGCCTAGCATTGCCCTAGGTCATTGTGAAGTATAAAGATTTACTAAATTACCTAACAAGTAGGTAATCCACAGCCAACAAGTGCTGTCAGCTGATGGAAGGACTATAAAATAATGTGTGATAAGAAAACCAAAAGTACTCCAAGCCATCTCACAACAATAAGGTGGGCTCAGACAAAAAGCCAAAAGGTGCACTCCTCACTACATTTGAAACCCCCTTAAATGTGAAAAGAACTGTGCACTCATGTGTGAATGCGCTTGAATCACTTTCTCTAAGCTAAGACAGATTTAGTGGTCTCCTTAACCTCTTTTCTCCCAATATGAACATCAATGGGAGAAGGGTCACAATTCTGTCAGGATGCATTTCACCGGCTTCCTGATGCCTCTCACCTGCATCTCACCTCCTGTAGACGAATGGGGGAGAGATGCCTCACAACAGAGTTTTTACAGTGCCTTTGTTGATGTTTGGATAGGAGAATGGAAGAAGGTTCCCTTTGCTTGTGAATCCATTGTGGACATATTCTTAAATATTCCCCTAATAAAATGCAATTAATCAAGCTACTAAATTTGTGGAAGTGCCTCACCTATGGTCTAATCACACCACTATTCATAAAGCCTCAGATTGTATACATCTTAAAATGCTCTTTGATGTTGTCAAATATTGCAGGCTACGTTAAAGATTAGTAGGTACAAAAAATAAGATTTCAGGCACTGAGAAAAGATTGTGCTGTGCAGTGGTGACCTAATAATCAAAAGTCTATACACCATGCTGGTTTGGGCCCCAGAGACCGTCTTCATTTGCATATACTTTCAGCATCAGAAACATTTAATTATTGTTTCATTATTAGCCATCCTGCTCATGCAGTAACAGCTGGGAAATGGGGTACAGATGTCATAGAAAGGTCAGAAATAGTTAGAAAACACAGATGGCAGTCAAGATGGCTGGCCACCTGCCTACAACAGGTATTATAAGTAATTATGATTTTAACACATGCAAAAAAATTTTTTTTAAAGTAAGCTTCGTTAGATTTGTTTTTATCTTGTTATACTTGTTTTTTGTGTGGGAGAAACTATGATTGTATAGGAGAAACTATGGGAGAAACTATGATTGTATAGTTAACCTAGGTCAGTTGGGCACTTCCGAGAAAGGAATGTCTTAAGTGAACTAGAGAAGAGTGAAGGGATCTAAGAATAGAAATTAGATTTATGGAAATGACCCATAGCATCTGTGGAAGTGGAGGCGGTCAATAATATTTCTTTGTCTATTACGTACACAGTCAAACATCTGTGCCTGCTTGGGAAGTTAATTACAAAGCAAGTTAAGCACCAACTGGCAAACTGAAAGATTTTTATAAGTGTTAATTGATCTGTTTTTGATTAGGTGTTAATTGATTGGTTTCTAGAATTTGTGATCTGCTGAGTTATCTGCATATGGTTTCCATTTCAGTTTCACTCTATTTTGTTTTAGATGTTGTACTTGGAATTAACTTTTTTTTAAAAAAAAACAACAACATTGTTTTAATGTCAAATGGTAGAAACAAAGTATAATGTTTTAAAATGAAACAAAATAAGTACAAAGACAAATTATATGTTTCTGAAAACAGTTCATTTCTTCATATAGAAGCATGCATAATGTGAGAGATATTATACACACCATACAGATATATTCACTAGGAATTGGTGGTTGGCTGTAACTAACTATCTCAGATATACATACTTGGTGGAAAATTCGCTTTTGTCACTGTGCAAAATGACACAGACACTTCAGAGTGGACATTTAAGATAAACTGATGTATAAAACTCCATGAACCAGATTGGCCTACATTTTTGAACTTACTAACTTTCCATAATTTCCCCAATTCAGTATGTAACCTCCATGCTTACTACAAACAATAAATTCTAATGACAGAGCCAGAATCATTCAGATGTATAGATAGATATTCAAAGATCTCTAGGGAATGAAGAGAGAAAAATTAAAATTACCTTATTAAATTGACAAGTAATTTCTTAATGCCCAGTGACTAATTTGCTATAGTATATCAATCACTGCTATATGACTTTATATTTGACTATCTCATTTCTGGGGGCAAGGATTCTGGTGTTTCCTTGGCAGGGTTGATGCACAGATCAAATTGACATTAATGAAATTAAAATTGTGTGATATATTGTTTAACGCTAAAAGCATATGCGATGGTTTGTGTGCGTTAGTAAAGAATTAACTTAATTTTTAAAAGTGCAAA